CCAACAGAAATCAACAGCTTTACCATCATCCGTTTTGGCGCTATTCTCTGAATTTTTATCAACCGAATCTGTATGACCTGGTTCTTCAGATGAAGGAAGACGAGTTGAAACTAAAAGACAAATATAAAAATAAATAAAAAAAATAGAAGAGTTCGTGGCTTAAAAGAAATATAAAACAACCTGGATTGTCAGGTGGACTCGTTAGTGTTTCTTCCTCGACCTCTTTGTAATCATCTTCACTGCTGCAATATGTGACTTTTCCAATGTTCTTGCAGTTCGCATCCAACCAATGTTGTCTACGTCTATGTAAACTGGAAATCCAGAATAGTATAACAAACATCCGCGTGCAGAAAGCTAGCTCATAAATATTAAGAAACAAAATCAAAATGATCTTATTACATCGTACTAAAACTAAGTAAATAGCAGTCTAAGCGACAAAAAGAAGTCTTACCCCGCAGTATCAGAGCAAAACGGCCCTCCATGCTCCGCTTTCGAATGACACCAAGAACAATTGAAATGAGATAATGTTGCATTTGAACATTCCTCACATGTGTGATATTGGATACAAGCTATAAAAGTAGTTCTGTGATTAGAACGGAACTTACCCTGACAAAAATACCAGAACAACAATCTGGCTCACCTGGTTGTGCAATCAATCGAATAACTGTATTAGAAGTTACAAATTTGGGGTCTACCTCGATACGGTGATATTCATAAAGAATTCTTTTCACAGTTGCTAAAAATTACAAATTTTGATCATGTAACTTTAACTTCCAGAAGAATAAAATAAAACTATGATTTTGCTCCTTAACCTTTCGTAGTTAAAATTAGAGTACGCCGTCTCAGCGTTGCTTAGCAAAACCGTATTACTCCTGCCAACTAAAATTTTCTGTTTCAGATACCTTGTCTGTGACAACCTATAATAGCAAGTCCTAGCCAGAAACTCTATGTTACATCACTCTATTCGCTTGAGACGCTAACAAGCTTCTGGTGAAATTTACCAGAGTAGAGTTTTCTGGAATCGCTGACAGTTACACAATCTCGCTTCCTCACAAGACGCAAATTTAATACTTCCACGCAGATGCCACTTACTTGAACATTTAAATTCTTTTCAGAAATATTCCACCAATATACTTTTGTGCACAAAAATGGAAGTCCATTATAAAAGTTACATTTCACAGCAGATTCCTGGTAACTTTTAAACAAGGCACGTCGAAACTCTAAATGATATTCTTATCTTTCTCCCGCCTGCGCTGCTCAAAACCGTAACAAAACACAACTATGGCTATGGAACCACCTCCACAACAGAGCATAAAAACTCCATATCCAATACTGAGCTGCCTTTTTAAAAGCTCTCCTCTTCTAGACTTAAAAGTGCAACTCGTATCATAGATTGATTTACTACTTGCAATTTGCATTTTTTGCAATATTTTCAAGCTAACAACAGTGAAATCAACCAGGCCATTCTACACTTATTCACAAAATTTTTTTTTTTCTTTATTATAGGAGTTCTCAGTGTAACCATACACTGTAAAATACTCAGAAATTTTCTCTTTAGCTCTGCTGTTTATATGCAAAACTCCGTAAAAATTTGAACTTTAACCCTGCAGAACCACACTAAACAACTCAACTACATATTTCCTGCTCATCCAAAAAATAACTGAAGCGGAACCTCCAAGCCACGTTCTCGCAAAACCCAGAATATAAGCGCAAATTCAAAAGAGAAGAACTCCTACGACTCATAAAACAATTAAACCAACCATAATAAAAAGAAATAATATTGTGCTTACGTGGTTGATCGTCTTGCATCCTTGTCCTATGATGAAACAGGTAGGCATCACTTACACCAATCTTCACTGGATGGTGAGAACCGCTGATATTTCCAACAGGAATTGGTATCTAGACGAAGCCATAAAAATGACAAAAAAGTGCTCCCCAGCACTGAACAGAAAAGTAACTGAAGTTCTAAAGCTGTTTTTCGTAAAATAAATACTTACATCAATATAAACGAACCAGATATCACCATTTTTGTGCAAAGAAAGTTGAAATGTGAAATATCCATCTGAAAAATTAAAAGTTGCCTCCATCAACAACATAAAAACTTTAAATATAGATAAGATAGCAATATTCGTCGAAAGAAGTAACCTGTTTTTTGGGTCCTTAGCTGTAAGTTTTTCCATTCAATCACAAACTTCTCTCCATCGTCAGCATACATAATCGTTGAATTCTCTGCGTAAGTATCGAAATTCGCCATGAGTGGGGCAATGTACTGTGTAGCCGCAAGCCAACTGTGGAACTGTTCTCCAACATAAGAAAAACCTAAATTATGCAAGCGATAAAAGTTCATCGGTGATGGTCTGACCATCTGCCGTGCAGTCCAGTATAAAGTTCGATAACTTTCAAGGTAAAGCCGTAAAAAAAGCAGATATAACTATTTAACATGAAACAGTGACAGTTTTCGTAGAAAAATATATTTAAAACATTTAGTGATCTAGATAGAGCCTGAGAATTACGAACCGCCTGTAGCAATAGTCAAATTTTTCATCCTAAATCCATAAAAGGGAAATTCGAACTGTATTCTCGCAGCCTAAAACAAAAATTAAAAGTTAACCATACAAGATAAATAAACGTTAATTCAATTAAACCACTAAAAATTTTTAAACAAGGTACTAACCACAGCCCTCCTGTAGCTCTTGGAGAGTAAAGGATGACTTATGTTTCCAACAGTTCCAGGCTTCTTTAGCATCTCCTCAATGTCAAAGTAGTGAGTTTTCACCATATCTGACCTGTTTGTATAAGTTTCCAATACATAGTACTTGTAGTCGATCTAAAAACAAGATGAAAAGACTTAAATTTATTGCACAATATTCATTCTAGAGACCCAATAATTGAGAGTATAGGCCAGTGAAGACAACATTCCGAAATAAAATGTGAGAGATTACCTGCGAAACTTCTACATCTGATGGTATTTTGAGATCATCATCAGTAACACCTTCATCATCGTCTAAACCTCGCTTCTTTCTAGACTCTAGCGAAGAAAAATAGGGTGGGACAAAATCGTAGTCTAACCAGCTGCCTATAAATTCATCAAAAGTTGGGAGTACAGAAAACAGTCAAGGAACTTTATTTTGAAGATAAGCAGTATTCTTTGAATACCTATTAAATTTACAGCTGAACCTCTTTCGATTAAAATATTTTCAAAGAAAGTACTCAGATCCTTGGCAGTATTAGAGTAAAATGTAATTCCAATAAATTATCAGCAGTTATGAAATAAAAAACCAGATGGAATTAACGGGTTTAAAAAGAGATCTGTACTAAGTAACAGAAGCATCAATAAGCCAGATAAAGCAGCAACTTGCCGCTACATAGCGTTTGAACCTCAATCTTAACGACACAAAGGCTTACCCGCATTAGATACTGAGGTGACATGACCAGATATACAGATTGTTAGAAACCATAATACCAGTACTAAAATTCCCATAGTTCTACCCAGCCGTCAAAGAAAGGCGTAGTTCAATACTAAAAAACCAGTAATCTACTACCTGGTCGAAAAAAAGTGTGAAGTTACCGTTAAGCAACAAATACCGCGACGTAGGCAAATTTTAGTGATAGCTCAGAATTACTTTCATGGAACAAAAAAATTGCCAAACATTAAGACTAGTTTTATACTTTGTTAAAAGTATAAAAACACTTCAAAATAAAGAAATAGAACATATAAAAGATATTATAAACATGTATTAGTAAGAAATAAAAATAGTGTAAAGGTAAACAATAAAAGGAAAAGATCAATCAACAAAATCCGTGATTAATGTGAACAATATATAGTAGCGCTGAAGAATCCAAAATTTGCGACAACAAACGTAGTATTAAAAATTGTTACACATATATTATGCAAAATTAGTGTAATGACAACCTTTAAAAATTGAGAAACGTTCCCTTTCCTCCTCTATTCATTGCATACTAAAAACGCGTTGCAGACAGAGGATAATCATTGTGCTCAAAAGTGAATAGCTGGTTAGTGGAATTGGCACAAACAAATATCGCCACTAGTTTATCTCGCTCTCGAAATATTCGGGAAAAATTATAAATGATTACTTGCAGAAGGAAAAAAGTGACAAATACCAAATAAATATCTCATTTAGCGACTAGTTCCAAGTTAGATAAAATAAAATTAAAAAATAAACAAAAGTAGAGAAGAGATAAAATAAAAAGCTAAATCCCAATACAAAAGCAAGAAAATTTTCATAAGCTTTACTCCTCAAAATCATATTGAGAACATTTATTTACAAACCAACTACCCAACAAGTTCTAAGAATACCGGCCCCCAACAGCCAAAACCTCCCTATGGAATGATGTTAATTGTGCAGCACAAATAATTGCAGCAGTGGCACCGAACAGAAATAACACCGCAGCAAAATACATCTGCTTGATATTTTAATAATAACAAAAGCAAATCAGAATAAAAATAGTCAATATTCATCTTCTTAAGAAAACTTTCTTCCTGAAACCACCGATATACTCGACCTTTCGTCATCTGTGATAACCAATCCGTCATGTCCCTATTAAGCCACTTAAAGTAAGCAACAATTTAACTTTTCTCTATTCACTTCCAGAAACGAAAAACTAAAATAAATAAATGTAACCATCTGATTTACCAAAAAATGTGTTTCACTTTTCCTCCTATAAAAAAAAAACTAATTTTCAAACGGAAAAATAAAATCTCTCTCATTTTTCCAACAGATTAGGCTTTTTTCATTCAAAAAAAAAAAAACTTCACACAAAACTGAATACCCTCAATCCACATAAACCTCATCAAATTTTTTTAGCCATGCCATTTTTTCAAAAACACCAAAGAATTATCACGTATAATACAAACAAAAAAAAAAAAGTAAAAAGTCAAATCCTTAAAAAAATGGCTTTCAACAAAACTAAAACATATTTTTTGCCTGCGGCTCTCAACAACGCTCTGATTAATCAGATAAAAAACATTTCACCAAAAAATTATTTTTTCCTTTTTCCTTCTCTTTCACTCTTCTAACTTCTTTCTCTTCCTTCCTAAAGAAAAAACAAATCAGTCCGGTAAACAATGCAATTCAGGAAAAAGGATTCAAATTTCAATCCTCTTCTCTGACTAGATGAAAAGAAAAAATCCTCTTCAAAGTACCACCAGTGATCAACAATACACAACCAAAAAACAATATATATGTATATAACCAAATAAAAATATGCATAAACAGAAAAGAAAACAGAAATAACATAAAAATAAACAAATTTAAGAGGAACTCAGCTTCAGCTGCTTTTTGACGACACAATAGGATGCATACCTATATATAGATCCCTGTAATGCGTAATATACGTGCATATGAATGACTAAAAATGGTTAGAGACATGTGTATCTAAAAAAAATGACAATGTCAAAAAATTAGCCTACACAGACAATAGCAAGAACAATATAAAAGAACAAAGACAATCAAAAAAGCATTCAGTCTTTTTTTACTCTCCATACAGCTGAACACAACTATCCTCATTTTATTCCTATACGAAGAACCCTACTGCTAATTTGCTGCTAAATTTAACTATAAATATATTAAAAACTGAAGTCTTGAAACCCTCTCTCTAAATCCACTTCTGCCATCTATCTTTTTTTCCATTAACAAAATATTCGTCCAAAAAATCTAAACAAGTAAAACCCCTCACCAAACAAAAAAACACTTAATTAAGAAGTATAACGGAAAGGGAAAAAAACAGTATGTAAAAAAAAATAAAAGACTTTTGCAGAATAAAAGCGTTAAGTTGAAAGAAAAAAGCAACGAATATCGTTTTCTGCACGTCCTTTTTCAGAAAACGCTTTTCTCAAGTGACGAAAAAGAAAAGGATGTTGGAAATGCCTTTAAAATCAAGTGAGAAGCAGAAAAAAAGAGGAACATCTATTGATAAATCTAACTGCACTCCTTATACCTTTCCAACTTTTTTATGGGCTTCCGCTGCCGAGCCCAAGTCATATTTGAAAAAAAAAATAAATATAAAAGAACTAATCTACTCCACCGTGACCTTTTACTTTTTTGAATACGTTCCTACAACAAAAACACCATAAGCAACGAAATACATAGAACAACACATTAAAAAAAGTGCCTCTCAACAAATAGCGAACAAAAAAAATAGTAACTAAAATGAAAATTAAACAGTACAAAAAATATATGTGAAAGAAAATCTAACAAACTAAGCATAAATTGAAGTCATAAAATTCTTTGAAAAAAAAATTTAACTGTTTACCGATAACAAATCTGAAAGCTAGAAAGAAGAAAAAAGAATGCGGTGAAAAAAATCTACTCGTCGACAACATTTATAAATAATTAAAAACAATATAATACATTTAAATTAAGAATGCTGAGGAAAATAAGAAACGCATATGCATACTTATACAGTGATCGGCATTCAACTGAATGTGATGACGTACACTGAAATTCATAAAACAGTACAGAAGGCTTTCACCGATGATAAATACCATACCTCATCTAGAACAGCTTTAATAAACGGTGAGTGAGAACGAGGAGAAAAAAAGCATACTGTCAATAATTTTTTCTTTTCCAAGTAATCTTCCAAATTTTTTTCTATCTCAATCAAAAAAATAATTATTATGCCCTGTTACATTAAATAAAAGAAAAAACTAAGATATTAAAAAAACAATTTTCTTTCACTTTTTTTCTTCAAGTAAAAACAGTGGAAAAAAACTGGAAAAAAAAAGGACAATAAAAAAGGAGCTTTCTTTACTGCAGCAAAAAAAAAATTGTGCTTACAAATTTCAGTGACTGTTTAACAGTCGATACAGCTATTGTACAATTGTTTCCCATCGAATATACCAAAACTAATTCATCTTCGTCGTCAGGCTCATTTTCGCCTTGTCTTTTAACAATTTTTTGCATCATCTAACTACTTCTTCTTCTTCTTTTTTCTCCATTGTCTTCTCCATTTTTTCTGCTGTTGCCGCTGTAATTTATCGCACTGAAAAAAATGCCATCAAACAACGCAAATCGTCACTAAATAAAAAATATTCTAAAAAACGATTTGAGAGAATGTAAAACAAGAAAACAATTTTTGCAACGTTCATAACGCATTGTTACTTTGCAACGAAGATGAAAAGTTTAATCATTAATTTCATAGAATTTCTTCTTTTATATTACTGCCCTGCAGAAAAAAAAAAGAAAAAAATCTGCTGCAAATTTAGAAAGCAGCTAAAATAAACATACTTGTAGTCAAAATAAATGTTTTCTTTTATCGAATTAAAAAAATTTTTAAATATGAAATTGCCTTAGTCTTTCCCAGTTCCCATAATTACAAAAACAGAATAGTAGAAAGCCAACATCAAAATCCACTATTATAACAGGTGTTGGGGTGTGGTTTACAACACTCTGACATGTACTAAGTGCCTATTTTTATGATTTTGTTTCGTAATTGAAAAAAGTAGAAGAATCAGAATCCAGAACTAGAGCCACTAAGAATTAAATGTAGAACAATGCATGTTTTCACTGTAAAATTTTTAAAAACTTTCCCATTAGCACCTAACTTCCAGACGCCCATTTGTTTTTTATTCCGTTTCTTTAACTCCATTTCGCCTTTTCTACAATTTTCCAAAATTCATAATTTCGTCATTAAAAGGATGCAAAAGTTCAGTAACATAAATTCAAAAAAAAAAAAAGGCACACTGAACCTTAACCAACTTAATATTCGGAGATGAAGCTGAGTAATTTACTGCAGTTACGCGTAAAAAACAAACACTGATCCAGAAAAGAACATATCAACTCGATAAAGTTGAGCCAAATAAACAGAGCAAAACAAAATGGTAAAAGATTAATCAGCAACGACAACACCTGTAGTAGCAGTATCAACAACAGCAGCAACTGCAATCCTTTCAAATCAGTGAAATGCTGAGAAAAAAAAAATGGAACAAGAAAAAAGAAACAAAACAGATGGGAATGACAAGCAGAATTCTTCCACTGTCTTTCGACAATCTGATAAAGCGTTGGTTTTCGTTGAATAAGGCTTTTTTTAAATTGAATTTTACTTTACTTCCTTGGCACAACAACAGCTACACGATGCCTTTTTATTGTCAGTC